ATATAAATTTATATACATATAATTATATAAAATTATATACAGAGTGTTTGGAAAATAATGATAAATTTTTCGTATAGGGGTAGAATGGATTAAACTGATTGTGAGAAGAAAAGTTCTCTATCATTTTGGAATTTTTGCAACAATTAACAAGATATTAATTGCCGAAATTGGTCTTCAATAATATTTTACTCAAATACTATCAACTTTACAGAAAAACTGCAAGAGACGAAAATTATTTATTTTCTTCTCATACGAATTTTTTCAGATTTTTTTATCAACTTTTTAGTATTGCATTTTCTCATTTTTACCAATATGAGAAAATACAGTATTAAAAAATTCTGAAAAAATTCTAAAAAGATTCTGAGAGCTCTATATGAGAAGAAACAATTTTTGTCTCTTGCAGTTTTTCTATAAAGTTAATAATAAAAAATTGAATAAAAAATTATTGAAATTCAATTTTCGGCAATTTTTAACAATTAATATCTTATTAACCATTGCGGAAATTACAGAATGGTAGAGAACTTTTCTTCTCAGTTTAATCCATTCTGCTCCTATGCGAAAAATTTGTCATTATTTTCCAAACACCCTGTATATTTTTATATATTTTATATATAAAATATTTTTTCCCGGGATGTGCATTTTGTTTTCCATTTCTTGCCTTTTGTTATTTACATCTTATTTTTTTGCTTCTTATCCGGTTTTTTGTTTTATGTCGCCTGAGATAAAAGTTAACAAACTTCGAAAAAAACAGAAAACACGTAGCAAAAAATACAATTCTCGATAAAACAGTTGCAAAGGGAGAAAAAGTAAGAGGCAAAAAGCAAGAAACAGGAAACAAAGACCGGTATTCATATAGTCACTTCTTATTTCAAGACCGTCTTAAGACACTAATACGGCCCTGTGATTGATTTATGACATCTCAAGACAGATCTTAAGACGGTCTTGAATAAGAATTGATTATGAATACTGGCCAAAGAGCACATTATAGAATAGGTTTAAACCGAGCAGTACCATTTCCTGTTTGTTTACGGCATTTTACAGCATCGAGTTTTGACCGCCAAAATGCGATCGCACACATATGGCACAGATCTGGACTCGTGACTTGTGTATGTACCACCACTTGCCGTATTCTCTCCATATGTCGTAAATATGCCATAAACAAACAGAAAATCACTGAAACCGAGTGCCTAAACCCAGTGAGAAATAATAATGAAATTGACATCGATTCGACATTAATTTTATTGTCATTTCTTACTGGGAAAGTTCGGTTCCAAGATAAATAAATTCTTGAACAAAATTGTATTGTCATAAACATAAAATGAATTGATTTATATCTTCATTTAATTTGTTTAAGGCCCGATTGCACCAACAATACTTTGATTTTAAGCAAGGCTTAAAACTCTTTCTGTCTATGTCTCTTTTTTGCTTTAAAACAAAATAAAGAATTTTGAGTCTTGCTTAAAATCAAAGTCATTGGTTCCAACTAAAGTAAAGTTCAAATTTAAAATGTGTCTCTTTAGTCTTTTTACGGAGAGAGAGAGAGAGAGAGAGAGAGAGAGAGCATATTATCTATTGAAATTCTGCGATAATCGGATCCTCGTTCTAAAATCTAAATTAAAATGAAAATAGAACTTAGGAATTATACAAGGTCGCAGCCATTAAAAAAATTTACTCGTAGCTTATATGTACGTATTATTTATTCAAATTAGATAATCTTTTCTTTGGAACCTTTTGGCTCCTCGTAAGAGAGACACATTTTAAATTTATTTAAATAAATTAAATCGAGATATAAATTAAAATTACTTTTTTATTAAATTATTATATAAATTTAATAAAATCAATTATTATATAGACCAAGATGTATTTAAGTACTATAATACTATTTAAGTATCTATAACACTTAAATAGATTAAACTAAAATTAAAGTTAATATATATTGATAGAAATGTGGATCTAAATAAAGCTGGCTTTTAACAATCCAATGTTTTTAAATGTTCGTTTAAATTACAAAATGCAGTGTGCGCCAAACGATTAATTTTTAGCGTCTAATAGGGAATTCATACGGTCTCCGATAACAGAGACTGCTAGTTCTAGGGACTTCAACGGGCAAAACGTTTCTCTTTTCTCAGAACAAAGTTTTCTATTGGAGCTCGAACCAACTTGGACGCCCTTCCTACCAATCCTACTCCTATCAACAGTCCTATAGTCGCAGTCCACGATAGTACAAACTTACGAAGGGTGTGAGCGAAGCAGAACGAGGCTTTCGCCACTTTCGCGTATCGGCGCTGCCGTCCGCCATCACTGTGACAGTTCCATCAGTTCCATGCCATGCATGCCAGCGCATTGTACTTGTGTGTGCGGTGCGTTTAGTTTCGTGCGGGGCCAAGGCTACAATCGTGTCGCGATCAGTCACGATTATGTTGAGTACCGCGAATCATCCGACGACTGCCACAGGCGTCCGTTAAATAACGCGAGTCGTCGAACGCGGCAAGCGACGACGACAGCGTCGTCGCGCAAGGACAGCTGAGGAGAGTCTCCTGGAAACGAGATTGTCAAGGGACTCTTCCACGTCGTAAGTAACGCGTTCATTGTTAGAATAACATGTGTTTGATGTTTCCCGTACGATATTACGACGAGAAGGGAAATTCTCACAAGACGTTCTCAGGTCGATCTCTGCAGAAAATAAAATATCTATCGAAAGAGGCAGAGAGTTCCTCCCGAAGGGCAAAACACAAGGGCATAAACTGAGTTTACGCGGCATGTCAGTCGATAATCGGAGAGCGGAGAACTTTGTCTTTTTTTTTTTTCCCTTCTACCTCGACGGACTTCCGTCCCCGTTGGGTACAAAGTACAACTCGTTCTTTATTAGCAAAAATTTTGCAGCGAGAATTCGCTCCGCTGAGCTGTTAGATCAGCCGTTAGATTCCAGAAGAAATTTTATCTTCAGCCTCGAGTTTCTGAATGAATACCACGTTATCCGATATCACTCTCGGAAAGAGTATTCTCGAGCGCGCATTTTCCGAGGGGAAAAAAAAAAAAAACAGAAGCTGTTTTCGCGAAAGGAAACAGGTACACGCACGCACATATGCGCGCACGGGCGATACTTATTTCCTTCGATCGTTAAATTGGCACGTTTCCGCGGAGAAAGTCGCTGGCCAATCCAATTATCGTTCTTTATATCCATATTGTATCGTGCTGAAAATCGCCGTCGCGTGCTGAAATCGCATTGGAACAAGATAATTGTCACATCGCGCGATCACCACGAGGCAGCCACGTCAACGCGAAAAGCTTTTCTTTGTAGCTGAACTTTTTATACCTCTCACCTTGTCTGTTTTTTTTTTTTTTTTTTCTTTAACGTTCAATTACATATCTTTCATCTTAATCATAGGTAATAAAAAATAATACAGCTACAAAAAGAAGCAGATCTTTTATATCAATGACATTTTTACTCCAAGAATATTTGAGGGAATGAAATGAATTTATAACTTTTTGGTTTTTTTTTTGCAGCTGAACTTTCTATATCTTTCGTCTTGTTTCTTTTGTTCTTTCTAGGATTTAATTACATATCTGTTTCATCTTAATTACAGACAGCTACAAGAAACAGATCTCTTATATGTATAAATAAGATTTTTGTTCCAAAAGTATTTAGTATAAGGGAATAAAATGAATGCGTTGTTTCACTGTGAGAGACATTCTCTAGTCTAGAATTTTTTTACAAATAATATTTTGATGCCATTTGAAAGGTCATTTTGAAAATATCCATTGCTCTGATAAAATATACACAAATTTGATTATTTAGTTGTTTATATATTTTGACATAATCGGTTTGTTTATCAGTTAAATAATTTGCAGAGCGTGTTTAAGTGAGATTTAAGTGAGAGACTAAAGAGTGAAATGTGATAAATAACTCTACTCTGACTTGCATCATAAAATGTTTATCGCTGCTTAATCATATTAATTTATTAGATTTACTATAGGAATCTTTCACAGAATATCTCAGACACTTTTCTGGATATATTTTATTTTATTCTTTATTTATTTGCTTATTATTATTGCTTATTATTGCTTATTATTATGTATTATTGATTTTTAATGAGCTTTTTCAATGTATAAAATTTCGATTTTTTAATTGAATTTCTTTCTTCAGAGTTTCAATTTTTATAATGTACAGAATATATTGTAATTGATTTGTTTAATCGTTAATATACTGTAAAATTGTTACAGAAGTGAAAGATTGTATAATAACTATTTTATTACAATAGTATTGTATCGAAAAATTAGGTAAATGAGCAAAGATATTTATTATTTTTATCCTTGTTAGTCCTTTACAGATTAAATAATTAATCCATTTTAAATAATTGTACGAAGTTTTTGAATGAAGAATGTTGGAAACATTTATGAGTCACAAATGGTTTATAACTAAGTATTTATAAATTATTGAGTAAATAAAAAATATTCTTATTCTGAAAAATATATATAAAAACTTTTGAATATTAAAAAAAGCACGCAGTAATATGCATTGCACATATTTTTTTTTAAAGGTGAAGAAACAAGAGGAAAATCGAACAAGCATCGCGTGAATTTATTGTCATCGAAGTGGCGGTCGCAGAAAGTTCTAACATGAGGGGGTCTAAAAGAGACTGGATTTTTAGAGTCCAGGTAATTTTTGCTGAAATCTTTTTTTCAATACTCTTTTGTCAATATTTCCATAAATTTCAGTTTAAAAAGAACAAAAATGTATATTTGTGTGTTTGCATTTAACTTAATTATTTCTAAAGGTACCTAATCTGGAGAAAAGTGAAGTGGTCTACGTGGTTGGAAATTTACCTGAATTAGGTGCCTGGAATCACAATCAGGCCATCCTAATGTCGCAAGAACATAACAGTCGCAGAGAGTCTCCTGTAGTATTAGATAATAACAGTACGGGGGATTTTTATAGCGAAGAAGATGGAGACAATGCAGCTGATGGTATATTTGAAGAGTAAGTATATATAAAGAAATATTTTTTTTTTCTGAATTTTGAAAGTTTTACAAAATCTTTTCTTCCTTTTCTCCATTTTTTTTTCTTTTTACGTACAAAAACATTTATATTTTAAACATCCTCTATGTTATATTAATTTGTGTCATTAAATACTATTAATAGCTTAAAGAAATTAATTTTATTCGATAATTTGAAAGTAATATATATAAAAAGAAAACGTACAGGTATACGCATAAGTGTTTATACTTAAATACATAATATATACTTTAAAATATTTGTTTAAAACATTTGTTTTTCTTTTTTTCAAGTTATGAAGACGTTAATCATTTTTATTTTGCTTACTACATCATGATTTATAACATTAATATATTCCAGTGATGGACGAATATTTTCGCAGAAGGTTGCTCTTCCCATCGACGCAAATATCGAATTTCGATATTTTATAGCTGTCATTTGCCAATCAAATGGCACTAAAAATTCGGCCAAAACTTTGATTATTCGCAGATGGGAAACCCATATGACACCACGGTTAATTAGGAAAAACAGTATGTATTAATCATATTTCTTATGATTAAAATTATAATATATGCTGCACATGTTATAGAGAATAATACAGTATATAATGTCCTTAAAAACATTTCACAATGTAAACAATGTATACATTAATTGATCATCTGTTTTACAGCACCAAGTAATTTTGACAATGATACATTGCCAGATCCTGATAAATTTGGGTATCATAATAATTACTCCAAAATCGAACGAGGTTGGCTGACAGATGAAACTGTGATACAATTTAAACTTTTTAACAATCCTATTAAGCTGTGGAAGAATCGGTTACAAAACAAAAAAGTTTATATTAAGGTATTCTATTTTATTTCTGTCATATATTTAGTATTTCTATTAACACAAAAAAAACTAACATTTTAATTTTAAAAGGGAAACTAAATAAACTGTTTACTTTTAAAATAATAAATTTATTAAATATATAAAATAAAGATACTATAGTAAGGTTTTGTACAAAGTATTTCCAAAACAGATAATAATTGGTATTTTATTTTTATTACAGATGACACCTATAAATCTAGTTAGGCATAATTCTTTAGAATTGCAACAGTTTGGAGGCGATTGTATAGACGATAGTCTTTCTATGGATACACAAGATATTATTGATCAACCCGCCTTTACCAGTATTACGGAAATTGCTGTAGGTGTTAATTTTTTAATTTTTTTTACATCATCGTCAAGCAAAGTCGAACAATAATTATGTGTATTCCCAGGTGATGAATGATGAAGAGGCTAGATTGACGATCCAGGAGCAATTCGGTCGCCCTTACAATGAAGACGAGTTTTTACTGTTCAATGTTGCCGTTCGGTATCCTGAAACAATCGTAAGTTTTCATTTAGATAGTCTCATCACAAGGCATCATACTATATACACTATTATGTGAAAAGCTGGGATTTATTGCTTGCATTGCTTGCGATTTTGGTATTGTATATACTTTCGAATGCGATCTCTTTTGTTTTTCAACTATATCAGATTGTAGCGTCAGATTTCATCTTGTGTCCAAAGATATTACATCATCTGCTTCTTCAATACTTGTGCAATATGATATGTCAATTTTACAATGAAATAAAATCAAATACACTGACGTTCCTCTTCGAAATCTCTCATGCAAAATTACTTATATGCATCAAAATTCTCGGGGGAAACCCGAACTCGTATGCGAAATGACTCGAGAACAAGAAAGTCGTTGGCACGGCAGAGCAATAAATTTCTGGTTAGTGATGTGATTCACAAAACGAGCTGAGCACACTAAGAATACGCATTGACCATACCATGTGAGTTTTCAGTAGACCACGAGTAGGCTGGCCACGTCTCCTCGCGCGACTTGTTCGAATTACTTGGTAAACGATAATTAAACTTGTCCAGCAGCTATCTCCCTCCTCGGAAATGCCAGCAGCGACGTGATCGCGCGGTGTCCAATCCCAAGGAACACGAAGACGACCTGTTCAACTTGTACAAAAGCAAGACTTCTGATGCAAATGATGCTAACATACAATCTGATGTATCGATGCTAAGCATCGTCTACCACTTTACATCTGTGTCACATGACATCACACAGAGATATGATGGTTTTGATTGTCGTTTACCTTACCAGACCCATCCTTCGGCTGGCCTCCCGTAAATCGTCTCGTGTGTTTTTTATTTCCTCTTGAAATATATATTGATTGACAAATAGACTTCCAGATAGATCAAGTTTTGTTTCGTTTCGTTATATTTATGTCCATTGTTTCTTCGATTTACACGAGTCGCAGCCATTCCATAACTCCTCAAATGTTGCGATATCAACGCTATCACATCTCATATCCATCTGTGTGCGTCGAAAATGGTGAGATTCCCATCACTCCTATATCCTTTTAGTATATTACTAATATTTTCTAGCTCTGACCGACTTCTTCTGTACGGTACGTCACCGCTGTGCGGCCAATGCCAGAATCTATGCTGTCAGAATCTTCTGAATCCGAATTGCAAACGTTGCTGACTTTTTAATCTCTACCTCTATTTTGCTTTGTCGAAATTTAACATTGAATAATCTCTGCAGGTGTTGCGGAATACGCGTCACCAGGCAGTGTACAATGTTTAGCAATTATTCCGATTCATTGTTAGATTACCAGAAATTTATTGCTCTTGCCTATCAACGATTCAAAATTTCTACGCCGGAAGCTTCAGGCAACTTAGTTCACATATAATAGGATGTATGCTGAAATAATATTCGCGTATTAATGTAATATTTTATTATCAAACAAATTTTGAAATTATATAAATCGTCTGTTGTAGCAAAGAAAGAAATAAAATTCTTACTTTGAAAACAGAAAATTAAATTATATTTTTTGTTCTTATTTGCTTGTTCTTAATTATAGAACGTGATTAATATTGAAGCAAGCACGAAAAATGGATGAGCTAAAATTGTATTGAAAGAAACATTGATGTGTGTTGTTCAAAATGTTATGGTCTTTTCAATGAAACATTAAGTAGACTGTTTTTCCAGGGGTACTTAGTGGACTACTACGTGTACAGCTCAAGATGTTTCCCGGGAGAACCACCAAATCACATTGGTTTCAGCTACATCTTGCCGTGTGCTTTACAACCTAGCGTTGGACTTCTGACCGTACCAATTACTAGTACAAAACATAGACCCATTGGTAAGTAAAAAAATACTAATAATGACGAATAAGAGTATTTTTCCATTATTAAACATTGATATCACTGTGAGGTTTAAGAATAGAATTCTTGAATTTATCGAATGTTCAGATTTAAATCATAATATTTATTGATTCCATAAAAATTTCACAAAGTTATAGCGATTTAAAATCATAGTTAACCAATTCATTAAGATATAACATTAAAAATAAACATTAAAAATAATATGTGTATTGTTTCCTCTGTAACACTGTTACATTACAGGCCAATTGACGGTGGAATATGTTATCATAAAGCCAATACCGAATCATCCATGGGACATGAGCATCTCATACGCAAAGCATTGGGAACAGCGTTGGTCAGGCTTAGATGTAGGACACAGAGGACTTGGCACATCTTTCAAATTCGAAACGAAAAAGTGAGTTGGTTTATATCTAAACACTGTTTATCTATCTGTGCAATCAAAATTCTGGATATATTTTTATATTTATAATTTTATATCAAATTGTTTTTTCTAGTATATGCTATATATTCTAATTTGGGATTAAAATCTTTACAGCTGTGCTAACGTACGCGAGAACACAGTCGCATCTTTGAAGACCGCGTCATATCATGGTGCGGACATGGTTGAATTTGATGTTCAACTATCGAAGGATTTTATACCTGTGATTTATCATGATTTTTACGTATCCATCTCGATGAAGCGAAAAAAGCAGATAGAGGTTATGGACATGCTGGAGATACCCGTCAAGGATCTTACTTTAGAGCAGCTTCATCTACTCAAGGTATTAATTAATTACAATAACTTTTGATATTTTTTATGTCATGCATTTTCATTTCTTGAATTTTTGAACGTACTTATTTTTTATATTTATATTATAACAATGTATGAAAATATTATTAATAATTAGTAGTATGATTACAATTTATATGTCTAACAATTCATAGTCTTGAACGAACATATGTATGTTTTATTATGTTTTGTTGTATCTTTTATAACATTAATTAATTTATAGAATATGATTGTATATTAAATTATGTTTAGAGATTAATACTGTGCTCTTAGAATATATGTTTAATTAAGCCAATGGAAGAACATATTAAAAAATATATTTATTTAGAAGAAAAATAAGTGCAATTCAGGTTCTGATTTAAAAAAACTACTGTGGCGAGAGAATATTTTTTTTATATTTTAAATTGTATATATATTGGACACTAATCATTATTAATTCTTAAATTCCTAATTAAAAAAATTTTTATTAATTACTATTCTTCTGTTAACTTAATTCCGTTAACTTAAACAAATCCAGTGATTGTTTATGTAACAGTAATTGAATGACGATGGGATCTTTATGGGAATGCTTCGTATCAATGTTTTGCTTTTTATGTCAATAAAGGAAAAGTAGATTACTTTCTTATAATAAAAGAAAAGTAGATTACTACGCAGGAGTATGTCGTACGTAAACGTTCATGAGCTCACACCAACATTCAGAAATGACATGCTCTTTCGTATTTGTCTATTTTTTAATATTTAACAGGATTATTGTTACCCAAAGGACTCGTTGGGTAAGGTGCTCTATTTCGTTGATAAAGCTGAGCAAAGGGTTAACAGACTGGTGAGCTTTTATATCGCTTGCGCCGACTAACTCGTCGCTCAAAATGTATAATTAATACATTCGACTTGCATGCTTTTTTTCAAAAGCTATCAAGCGATCAAATCCATCAATATCTCAAATATTATTGCTATTACGAGAAACTGTTCTTTCTCAATATGCCATGTTGTGCTTTTCATAAAAGCTAAAATTGAATGTTTATCTATACATCTATCTCATTCTCCAAACATGAATTTGAATAAAAAAATTTGTCAACATATTTGAACGGGTTTTAGTTGATATCTGTTTACGAGATTTATGTGTCTCTCGATAGCAGAAATCTCTGATAAACAAATCAAAACTGAGCTCCACGATTAATTTGATATTTTCTTTATTGTCGCAAATTGTTTTCGAAAACAAAGTTATTTGATGAACATTCACTCTGATAGCTTATAGCAAGTCAAGTTAGTTCAATATAAAATCATTACGCAAATGCAAAATACAGGCAAAGTAATATTCATAAATTTACTTCTAATATTTCTAGACATTCTGTATCCTTAATAAAATTATCAATCACCAGTTTCACCCCCTACGACAATATATAAATGCTCACACATTGAAGTAAACCTCTTTCAAAGTGCAAGGATAAAATTTCACGACTGAGTTGGGATGAGAAAATATCATATTTTTAATTATTTCAAAAGTTATAACAAAACAAAAAATATTGTTTCTTATACTTATTCTCCGGCAGCTCAGTTCCTCAAAATGTTTCCAGCACATCTTGTACAATTTCGTCGATTATAGCATGCAACTAACATGTCACGAACGGCACGAAATGACAAGATGTATTTGCATAAAATTAGTGTAATTGTTTTGTCTTGCTTTGAACGTTTATCATCTCGATGACGATATGATTTACACTTGATCGACTCTTATGATTAAACAAATATCATATATGTACATATATTTCACTAGCAAGATTTCTTTCAGGTTTATCATGTAGCCGAAGGCCGTGATAAGAATCCAAGATTCTTTGACGAGGATTTAGAAGATCATCAACCGTTTCCTACATTGCAAACTGTTTTGCAAGAACTGGAGCAACACGTTGGATGCAATATTGAAATTAAATGGACTATGCAATTAAAAGTAAGAATAAGAGAATTCTAATAATATTATATACTGTTCTTTTTAATAACAGTTAATAATGAATTAATTTGATTTTTTGTCATCAGGATGGCACATTTGAACTCAACCATCCCTTTGATCTCAACATGTATCTAGATATTATTCTGAAAGTGGTATTAGAATACGGGGGTGATCGAAAAATCGTATTTTCTTCATTCAATCCGGATATTTGTGCAATGATTCGTCTCAAACAAAATAAATATCCAGTGGTATTTTTAACACAAGGCATTACATCGAAGTATCCTACTTATCATGACCCAAGATGTCAAACTGTACCGATGGCCATGAGGCACGCATTAGTCGCGGATATCTTAGGAATTAATGTCCATACCGAAGATATTCTTCGGGATCCGTCTCAAGTTAAGTTAGTTAAGGATACAGGATTAATTATCTTCTGCTGGGGAGATGACAACAATGATAAGGATACTATCCAGTATCTGAAGAAACTCGGCTTGCATGCGGTCATATATGATAAGTAAGTAATATGGCGAATACAAGTCCAGTTCAAAATAATTAAATAATTTAATCAGATTGGAGATACTGAGATAATAATTATCTCTCTTGATAAAAAAATCTTTATATACATATTTTATATATTTTATATATTTTATGTTTTGAATGTTTTTTTTTTTTTTTCAGAATCGATGAATATAACGCGAAAGAAGTGAAAGAGAGTATATTCTTAGTAGACGCTAGAGAAAGTCAGAAAGAGTTAATAGCCTTGGCACACTGTAGCCAAACACCACAAACACAAATTTCTTCTCCCCTTAACGCGGATAAGGTATCATCTTTTAACAGATATTATTAAAAGTGTAATTATGTAACATACATAAAATATACAGCACATTCTTGCAAATCCTCTCTCATTATCTTTAAATTAATAATTTAAAGATTAAACAATTAACAAATATAGATTTTTTAAATGTTTTTATATATAAAAATTTAATAAATTTAAGAATAGTATTTCTGAGAAATGATATCTTGTTCGAAAAACGCACAATTCTTTTTTATTGTTATTAATATATATATAATTAAAACGTGAATATTAAAATTCAAATAGAATGTACGCAGAAATATAAAATCTGAGTTCGAACAATATTAATGTTTTAGGATTATTATTTGAATCGACCATCAACGACTACATCCTTGTTGAAAAATAATGTTGCTGGCGATAGCATATATTCCGTATCAAACATGAAGTTGCCAACCAACTGCGAGGAGAGCATAGAGATTAACGAAATAACCAAGGATTTTAGTGTCTGCGCGAATACTTTCGGTCATTCGGTAAAAACAAACGGCGTCTCTGGCGTGATGTGCGGACAACCGGCTCCTCTATCTGAGTTTTATGGGGAAGACGAGGCGGCGAAGGATTGTCTTTGATGCTTTTCTTTAAGAAAACCCTTCTTCTCATGGTTTTAATAGAGAAGCATCAATAAAAAAGATCCTACGCCATGCGACAGGGAGATAACTTTTTTCTAATTTACACTATACACTGTAATTGATAGGCTGAAATATTACTGAGGATCTATACTTCTGAGATCTGTAATACTCTTATACGGATCATTATGTGCAGATTACATATAAATAACTCGGAATCAAAACAATCAATGTTGTTCTGAGATTTGCCAAAAAAACTCATTATCTACATTCAACATTTAGAAAACAATAAATAAAATGCCAATTTGAGCCGACACTGGTTATTAGGATGTATTATAATATTTACTGTGTAATGCTAATAAGAATAAATTAAAAAGTTAATATAAATAACAATAAAAATCCAATTTTAGTTCACTTACATGAAACAAAATTTTAAAATATTAGACACATAACTGTTTGGTAGATAGATGTAAAATTTAATAGTAATTTAATGACCAAGATTAACTCGGACATCACCACCATGTTTTTTCTCGTTTTTTTTTTATTACTTTATATTTATATGCACTACCATTATTTAATTTTGTTAATATAACTTTTGTACTGAAGAGGACCTTGACCGTAGGTCGAAACGTATACGTTTAATATTCACTTTGAATAAATGGTATTATAATACACACTAATAACCAGTGTGTGTCGGCTCAAATTGATATTTTATTTATTATTTTTTAGAATTTTCTTTAGAACCTATTGATTTTATTGTTTTCAACATTTAGATTTAAATATGATTATATATAATATATATAACCTATTACTTGACTGTGTTCTACACTAAAAAAACACTCAGATTAGCCATGTCTAACAATAGTAGTAAAACATGCAGAAACAGATTTTGGTAAATTCTACACCACTTGCAGATTACAGAATAACATTGATTATATTGCTTTAAAATATTGATATAATGTAATGTGCGAAGAAAAATTATCCAATTTACTCTTCTCACATTTTTCGAATTTGTTCATTTTTCGCGCATTGTACAGCGTGTGTCGGAAAGAGTATGTAGCCGGATATTCAAGAAATTTAGAATTGATCATTCCTTAAGAAGAATGATTTGGAGATCTTGAATATATTATTCTATTAGTAGATAATTATGATCCGATATATTTGCACTTTTTCGAACTTTATTCGTCTATATTTGTCATTTTTAGTCTAAATGTAAAACCTAAAAATTCATAAATAAGCCTAGAAAAATCTAGATATCTAAAAAAAGATTAAACAATTCTAGTTTCTATATGACCATTCGAAAACAAATATAAGTATTTGCTCGTGTATATGCAAAACAATATTAAAGGAATATTAAATTTTACTAATTCATAATAATAATTTAAAAACGGGTAACATTGTTAAATGGATGATATTACAAATTAAATTTATTAATTTTCATTCAAGTGAGCATCAGTATCTCTACTATTTAGGACGTTTCGGATTTTACTTAGCTCTCTTCAGCCATGATGCTTACTTGAATATAAATTAATAAATTTAATTTGTAATTTTGTTTATCTAAAGTGTGCTTGTTTTTAAATTATTGAATGGATTAGTAAAATCGCTTTAATATTGTTTTCTATATACCCAAATATTGAAATCTTTAAGTATTCAAGAATTTAGGCATACAAAGATGGATCTAAGAATCCATAAATCCAATTCGTTTATCGTTCTAATTCAACGATCTGAATGCCTGAAATACGTAGAAAAATAGAAATCTAAAAATATAGTTTCTTAGTTACTTAGATAGTTCGTTATTTAATTGCTAGATTATGTATTCCATGTGAAAAAAAATCGAAAACATTGTTCAATCCATTAGCTACCGGCATACAACTATTTCCACGCACTCTACGTGTATTCTAGTAATTTCTAACTTCTAACCAGAACCTTCTCAATGAGCTAATGAATCCTGCGCAGGATATAGAAAACGATTTTAACTCCCGCGAATTCGCCTATGGTAAGCCGGTGCGGAAGTGTTTTTAGTACAAATCTCTTCAAGTATATATCTTTATTTATAATTGAGAAAAAAACTATTCTTTTCTCTCCCGCGTATCTCTTCCGCTGTCGATTCGGATGGTTATAATATAAATATGCGAAAAAAAAAGGAAAAATACAGGAAAAAAAGAGCGAGTTGCTCGTAATCAGAGAGTAAACTAATGCCATTAGTTAATACAACTTTTTATGAGCTGTCGAACGAAAAATCACGCCGAATGCAACAGCGAGTGATCGCATCGCATCTCGAATTGCCTTTTCGACAGCTATAACTCGAGTTTTAATGTGATGTAAAGTAAACTATTTTTCGTAGTCATCTAGGAAATACTTCATATTCATTTATTTATGTCATCATTCAACGTGTGACAATTTGCACGATTATTCAACCGGCGAGCGTATGATCAAGATAAATAAAGAAAAATTATAAAAGGAGCACGTACACATCTCGTTTTTTTTTTTTTCCATTTTTCACACTTTTAACACTGACAAGTCAGTGTGTAGTTTTACTCATTCTAAGTAGTCTTATAATAACGCTGTGAATAATTTGCAGTCTCTTCATGGTGTATGCCCAACAGACGGACACGGTGTTCAGAGACCGACTGGTTCGCCCGAGAAATTTGCTGTACTTTGAAAACTTGAAATACTTTTTCGATGAGAAAAGTTCTGGAGCGTGCAGTCGGTCTCTCGTCATTCTTAGCGCACCAAGTGCGTTCAGAAGGCATCGAACACGAGAAATATTTACATTCACTTTCTAGCAAACAATCTCCCGAATGTACTATATGTTCCTTCGAGAGAAAAAAATAATGTTAACCCTTCAACCGATAGCTTTGTCCATCCATAACTCAGTGACACGAAGACGAGCCGAGCTCGTCGCACCGTCCGCTTCGACTTTTGATATCATTAATAACTCATTTTTTTTTCATTGAAGACAAACGAAACACCGTCTCAGATAAATAGAGAATCAACGCTTTGCGCTCGGAATGCTCTCGTCAATAACGGAATGTGATTTTATTTGAGAGACAACGTTTTTTGTCTATCAATGCCGACTAAAAGATTTTTCACGTTGATCTTCAACTTGGTTTATTGACAAATAAAACTGCAATTATTGGATAGCGAAATTGAGAAATGTTGAGTCGCTTATGCGACGCAACTAAAGGAAACAAATTAACTGAAGAACTAACTGCCTAATTAAGGCAAATACAAGCGGCAGCTTTGCGTCAACCTCGTGAATTATAGAATATGGATTCTTGGGATATATATCGTATATACTAAGAATATATTAACTATTGCTATTATTATTATTATTAGAAGTATAATATTGTATTAGCGTTATTTCATAGTGCATGGGTTACTATTTTACAATAATTTAATAATACCTATTATACACTATGATAACGTAATGTTATATCATTATAATAGTATAATATTGAGAAATACAGACCGAAACCGGATTGACGCTTCGCAGCGCAAAGAGTTGAACTACCGATTGAAGGGTTGAAGAGAACGGACGTGCAGTGTAAAATGCGTCTTTGTAAAATTGTTCACGGGAAGGATAACGTGCGTACCGCATTATAGTAGCAAAACAAGCTGTAACAGGCTAATAGAACGATTGTATCAATCGTCGAGACTCTGGCAATGTACAGTACATTTGTTGACAAAATGCTAAGGAAATACTACATACGTTACTATGAGATCACGACCAGGGACTCGGTCCGAAATTACATTATGGATACATTAAAATTTCGGCTGGTTACGATTATGGTCCGAGGATACCTAACTTTCGGTGTCAGTTTCAGTTCTTTTAGTGATAACAGTGACCATTCTGGGCATATAATTGCCGAAATCGAAAAGGATCGAAATCCAAACGAACCTTTACGGTAAAAGAATTGAAACCAAAAGTTGGATTTAGCCTCGGACCGTTATCCGGACCGAAATTTTTCGGTCCGAGTCCTTGATCACACCGTTGCACTATACAGAGGTGATATTACCTGTTCTTTTTCTTTTTCTTTTTTTTTTTTCGTTCTTCCGAGAAGGTCGAATGTTCTTTTAAACTTTTTGCGTTCAACACAACTAGCGACTATAAATCATGGATGTCCTCTCGCTAGACACGCTGCAAAATAAGGCAATTAGAATGCTAACAAATTGGATAGCTGACAATGCGGAACGCTGATTAAATCGGGAAAACACCGAAGATTTTCTTATCGACGATAATTATTTTTTATAGAAACGGCGAGTACTGTATTAATAATTAGCGTTAACAAGTGTATTTAACAAAGAATGACTTGAGGAGGAACTTTGAGCTTAAACAAGAGTGTCGAGTGCAACATATATTTCCGAGAAAACCGCGATGTCAAGTGCAGCATATGTTTCCGTATAAAACCGCGATTTTATTTACGTTAGAAGTTTATAATTGTGTCAGTAATTATGAAAGTGGCATAAATAAAAAATCGAAACATGAATTTATCCCATATTTTGTATAATTACAATTTTATGTAATTACATTATAAAATATGAGATAAATTCATTATGTTCGATTTTTTATTCAGACCATTTTCATAATTACTGACACAATTAAAATGACAGGATCAGCTTTAGAGAAAATTTATGCGCGCATTTATGAGATCTTGCGCTAACTTAACATCTTTAGAAACTTGCTATTCCAGCTTAGTTTTTTTCTGACTTATTGAATTTCTTATGATAAGTGTAGACTTTATTCTGAAAAATTATGAAATGTGAGAAAAATCTAAAGCTGACACCAAGTCAGAATATCTCAAAATTAAAATACTAAAAAACTTTTCTTCATTTTCCATATATTGTATATTATTAACATATCAGTATGTATATGTATTAGAAATGAACGATTCGTTTCTTGCTATTTAAGTTCCGAACAACTCCGTGCATCAGTTAGCGAACTTTAGAAGTTTTGCGAACTCGATGTGTTTTGGTCTCCAAACGGTTTTAATTAATATAAACTCCAAACATA